TGACTGTTTTTGTCACAAAATGCATTTTTCTTGTGTTTCATGTTGAAAATTGACAAAATGAGTATACTCTGATAACCCTTGGCATTTGGAAACATTGTATGAATTGTAGCTATTGTTTGGTTTGGTGTCTCCAAGAGGGAACTTGAGTTAAAGACGACTTTACAACGGAGACGTATTGTTAATGGTTGACAGAGTTAGAGCGGTAGGATCAAAGCCAAAGACGTTGCGACACTTCAATAGTCGAGCCTGTCATAATTGATGAGACTTTTTACAAGGAAATAGAATCTATGTGCCTTGTAACCCAAATCTCTACACAATATGATAACCTTAAGAGAAAAAAAATGTAACAAAGAAAATTCTTAAACGAGATGAAATAATCTAGATATACGAAGGCCGCAATAGCTCATGAAGGAAAAATATCCATCATAAAAAACTATGAGTGAAAAGTTAAAGATCTAGTTGTTTAGACCGGAGTCATTAATTTTNTTGGGCAAAAGGTTTTCAGATAAAAAAATTTCCCCTGCGGCATGCATTCTACATTTCTACCCACCCCCCCTTGAATAATTCCTAGAAAAGGGCCTGGGATCCTATGAATTGTCTGACCCACCCCCCTGGAATAAATTCTAGATAAGGACCTAGGATCCGATGAGATGTCTGCCCCAAGGGAGGGGGGGATGGCAGAAATTCGAATAATTTTATCGACGTTTGACATGATAAATCAAGAAGAGAACTTATTGTGGTCATTAGTTAAAATTTGACTTATTTTCTTCAAAAAATTGATCCTCTTTCACTTCAAACCGTTTCAGAGGTTTTCCATACTTATCCCTGCAAACAAAGTAACGTTACCTAACGTTACAAACAATTGTAATGTTACAGAATGGTAGATAATGTTATTTTTTAAAATTACTGAATGCATCTTTGATTATGTAAAATAAAGTTATTTGTTAACGTTAAATAAAGTTATGTATCAACGTTAAACAACGCTATTTATTAGCGTTAAACAACGTTTTTATTTAAGTTAAAGAACGTCATTTTATTAACGTTAATTGTAGGTTTATTTTTAAGGAACAGAACGTCACAGAATTATGTTACATTACACTAAACTCAGACTTAACCCTCTACTGCACAAAAAATATGAATCGTTAGCATACTTCAATGTTGAAAAACTAATGTAGTAAAAAAAAAGTTTGAAAAACAACATTTATTTAACATATCACTGGGTGGTGGTCCGATTACAAATAAACATACAGTTATTTAACAGTTTTATAATTTAGAAAAATATCAGTTTTTGATCATTTCGCACAGTTCCCGCGCTTGTAGATTAGTTGATAAATAAAATTCAAGGTTTTTACATGTTTGAAAGACTTTTTAACCTTTTTAAGATCGGCGTGATATATTTTATCTCCCAAATTTTCTCTCCGATGTTTTAATACTTTGTACTTGGTTTGGTCTTATAAGTTTGTGTCCAGGGTATTTAAGTAAGATCATAAATAACAAAAATTTGACAAGAAATGTAAATGTGATAATTCTTTTGAAGTATTGAATTATATTTAAAATACCCCCTTTGTTAATTGTTTGAGTTACAATTCTATATCGCAAAATTTGGAAATGATTGATTTAAAGGAAAAACAAGTGAAATTTTGAGTATATAATGTGTCTAAAAAATCAAAACTACCAACCAGTTGGAATCGTATTTCATTTCACATTTTTTTTATACCTTCCCTTGAGTAAAAAATATACAAAACAATGTAACCCCCTCTCTCGGGAATTTTATCATTAAATCTTTTTTGTTACGTGTGAAAAGAAAGAGTTTCAAGAATATCTAACATTAGATAAATCAGTAAATAATTTCTTGTCAAAAGTATCATTTGTGAACAGTGAATGTGCGTACATTAATATAATGTGCTAAGCTTGTGTACTAAACTTTAGAATATTTTCGAACAGAAAGTTGAAAAAAAACAGGTGTATCAAAAAGCGACATGGACATTTTTACTTTTTTGTTGAAAGTTGGGCTGTATCCTCGAAAAACTATAAATTTTGCATAAATATTGTAATTTAGAGTAGTAAATTTACTGAATTAGAATAAACTGAGTTTCAATTTTTGAAGAGAACAAATATTGAAAAACAGAACAATTTTTTGTGACAAACTTTCCAATTTTCATACCCACAATTTCTAATTCAAAACAATTCAAAACAAACTTGCGACCTTTCAAATTACAACAAATATACATCTTAAATTTTAATTTTCAGCTTAAATGCCACTTAATTTAAACCTGAATTTTAACCCTGGGGTTAAATATCTAACTCACCAAAATCGGCGAGTTAAAATTTAAACCCAGGGCTAAAATCAATCATCATTCAGCTGAGAAAGCAGCATTACACTTTACGATACATTTTTAAGTGAAAACCTTGATTGAAGAAATTTCACGTTTTTGATTAATTATTTATTGCATGTAATTATAAACCCAACAAACAGTTGTAACGGGAAATATGTTTTGTTTTTGGTTACGTAAATTAAGTAAACTTAAAAAAAAAGCTGATGAGCGATGGTTCGTAAATCCTTTTCTCTGATTGGTTCAGATTTTTCCCGGGAAATTCAAATTTCCTTTCAAGGTTAAATTGAGAAAGTTTAATAATTAAGTAGCATCACATTTACAGAACTTTTTAGCTATGACATAAATTTCGCGCATTCTTTAGCTTTAGACTAGGGGAAAAAAGTATGAAAAAAAGAAAATAGGCATTTAAATTTAGAAGATTTTTGTAAATTATATACTTTTTTCTAAAAAATGTCAAAAAAATGAATATAAAGCAAAACAGAGGAGCTAAATTAATCAAGAGAATTTAAATTCTTCGCTATAATCTTAGGCAAAATGTCTGGCAGTCAATAACTTGTGGGTGCAGCTACAAGCAAACTTTAACAACAAAGTATACAATTTTTATATATTACATAAGTTTACAGGGTACATCATACCAGAAATAAGAAACTAAATCGACTAGTTTCGTCACAGGGGGACAGAAGTAATACATAAAAATTAAACCAAGAAAAATTTAATATTTTTCTTCTGTTACATCCTTAAACAACCTTTGAGATAAGACATCTGAATAGATCATCGCGAGCAGTTAACACTGACTATGCTTACAAGCGCGCAATTAATCCTTGACGAGTTTGTAGACATGATGCTGTGCACCGTGCTCGCTTGTGCTCACTTCAAACACGTAGGCCACGCACAGTAGGGTCTCACCAGTGTCACGATTCGTTATCACCTTAATAAAAGAAGTAACTTCAGCTTTATTCGTTATTTTTTTAATTAGTTTTAAAGGGACTGTAGGCGTAATTTCAAGTGATAATTAGCATGTAGGTATGTGTGATTTCAGTACCCTTACTTTCACTGATCAAGAACAAATGACTTATCCATGTTAATCTATTTAAAAACTGATTCTTTTAATTTTTGGTTTCTCTTACATAAGTGACTAGCGCACTTCTGATTCAGAAATAATTGCGGGAATTATCAGAAATCAATATATTTTTCACATGTTATACCTGACATAGTTGTAAACTGGGCATGACTTTTACTACATAGAAGGGGTCACTTTTATAGAATAGTCAACATAGTTCGAGGTGATCATTCACTTCAGGGGAAGAAACTTTCAAACCGTGATTTGGCCCAGACATGACATTGAGTGTCAGGTTTTGGCCAAATGTGCACAGTTTTCTTTTTTAGCTGTTTAAAATTCTTTATTTAAGTCAAGAATTAAAATTCCGTCCGCATACTTTAAGGTAACAGTTTTGTTAACAGAAAATTAAAAACTATAAACCAATAAAAATAAATAAATTTCAATTTCTGATGATTATTTTTTTAATTTTGGAACATGTCATATTATTTAATGCTAAGGCGAAGTTTGGGCGCATAACACGCTTTGGAACATTTCGCGATTTAGAAACATTTCATAGATTTGAATAATGATACTTAATCAGGGATTTTCACAATTTGGTTACAACACAAGTTTTTCATATACGGTAAAATTTATACACAATACACACTTTATGGGATAGATGCAGTTTAGCCCAGTACTTTGGAGACATCGAAAGAACTCATAAAAAATCGTATTCTTAACTTAATGATAATGGAATGATTTAAATATTTAGTTATTTAACTGTATGATTATATGGAGCTCTTTAAAACTGTTCGCGAATATTTCATGGCTCTTTATTTGGCCTTACAATTACTGAGATTTAGGTATAATAGTATAAAACTCAATGGAAAACTGTCAAGACGACATTTTATAAATTATTTCGACGTCTCCGCATTACTGGGGTAAACTGAAGTTTGACTGGCGTTAGTGTAGTTTTGTTTGGGAAATTAAAAACTTGCCGCTACTTCTTAGCTGGTGTCAATTCTAAACAATCCGCTATCATCTATGAAGTTTTAAAATGGATCCTGTACTTTACTGTGTGTATCTAAGGTTTGAAAAAATTTGTTTGTACAAACTTAAATGACTCAATTAAGGAGTCATTATGTCCAGTCAAGAATGAAATGTTTTTTTTTTTAATTTTGACAACTTTACATTTTTTACACACCTGTAATATTGTAAAGTTTTCTAGTACACTGTTCATCATGTACTTCTCCGGTAAGTGCTTCAGCTTCAAGATGAAGTTGATCATGTATTCACACATTGGGGATCTGTGGATCTTGTACAGGTACCTTCCACCCTCAAACCTGGACAAATAATTGGTTAGAAATTTATTTTAAACGACTGGTTAAAAAGAAAAGTTTTTCTTTTTTAAAATTAACCGAACATCATGGATTATGCACGAACAACAAGAAGAAAAAGGAGATTTAGAAAAATTTAAATGTCAAAATATTTGTTAAAAATAATTTTAAACGTCTGAACTGCTGAACCGAATCATTATTATTATAGTCAACCATTTAATGAAATTAGGGCGCAGTCTCCAATCCATCTTATTTTTATCATGAAATATTTGTCAAGAAATTGATGAACTCTCCAAGAATTAAATGAATGTATATATATAAAGGTTAAATTGTAACCTGGTTTTCTCGTTATTTGTATGGGACTAAATTATTAAGCCCCAACAGACGAGGAATTTCAAAACCAGGTTCAAAGAATCCATGAATTAATAAATAGCAAATAACTAATGATAGGATGGATGACTCAATGAAGGAAAGGATAAATCAATCAATGAATCAATCAATGAACCCATCAATGAATCCATCAATGAATGAATCAATGAATCAATCAAAGAATCAATCAATGAATGAATCAATCAATGAATGAATCAATCAATGAATCAATGAATCAATCAATGAAACAACCAATGAATCAACCAATGAATCAACCAATGAATCAATCAATGAATCAATCAATGAATCAAAGACTGCCCTACCTGGCATATTCAGTCTCCACTTTCTCCACGACCTGCTTCCCGAAGCTGCAGACTTTTGTAGAGCACTGTATTGTCATGTTCTCACTGCTCTCATATCTAAATATAACAATCTAAAAAATACTTCAGAATTATATATTGTTAGATTATCAAATTTGAAAAGCCGCACTCGAGGAAGCATAGCAAATCTTATATCCCTTCATGATTCTCAGTCTTGATTTGATTGACGTCATTTTTATTATTAAATCTAATTTTTCTCGATAAAGTCAATATCGTATTCATACAAGAGAAACTTCAGAAAATCATTTAATATCATTTTTTTCATATAATAATGGACTCTGAAAAGGGTAGTTCACTTTTCAATTGTTAAACGGGTATACTTATTTAAAAAAGAATATTTTTTGTTAGCATATTTTAAAAATGGCCTTCATCATATTTAGAAAGGATTTTTCAATAATTAATTTTATTAAAAAGAAACCTACGTTGTTGTAACACCGTAGAAAGCACTACTCTCGTCCGATATATTTGTGTTTAAATCAGCCCAAAATTTTACCAAGAAAAAAGCATCCTGATCAGAGCAAAATATTTTGAACATTTCAACATTTATTTAATTGGTTCGTTTGTGCACATTAAATCAGCGCCAATTGGGTCAAAATTCAAATTGAGTCCTGACATTTTTGACCGGTCAGATTTGAACAACACAATAAATTGCTAGAAAATATTCGAGATTAGGAAGGATTATATTTTTAAAGAGTTAATGTATGAAATTCATATATATGAGTCGAGATTTTAAATTCAAGTTAGCAAAGCGCCCCGGAACTCTGGTATTTAAGATTTAGATTTTATATCGTAATTTATTTTTTATATCATTTTGCTCTTTCCTGTGGACCCTTTTCATAAAGCTCTTTCAGTCCTCCACTCTTCTCTGGGAACTTATCTTGTATTTGTCGAACATCAACGGGCTAAAAAAATAACATTTTTTTCCCTTTTATGCCGAAATCCAACAAAAAATTAAAGGCCTTCAAATCAATTACAAAAAGGCATGTTTAAAGAATTTCTTTTCCTAGTGGGTATTTGTTAATTGGAAAAAATACAAGAACATTTAATGAAAAATTAAAGTTTTTTTCAACATGCTGAAAAATATGTTGGAACTAATAAGTATTTTTTCAACCCCCCCTCCAAAAGAAGAGAAAGCCCAATACTAGAGACACGCCCCCTGCTAGAGACACGTCCACTAATAGAGACACGCCCCTTGATAGAGACACGCCCCCTGCTAGAGAAACACCCACCTCCAATGAAGGATCTGAGTACTCGTAGTTACCGCCAATATGAACGAATAAATGTTTATGATAACTATCCGTTTCTCTCTGCTGGTCAACGAAGGCGGAGTGCTCAAGAAGGCGGAGTTTCGAGGTTGCAATACTCCGCCCAAGCCAGGCAGGACTAGGGGAGGGGATGGCGGCGGAGATTTTTGGGACACTCAGGTTGAATCCTCCAGTTTGGAACGGTTTAACACTAAAATATAAATAAATTATTTGCGCATTTTTACCATATTTTCTAAATTTCTCGAAAATCTTAGAAGTTTCCTTTACTGTTAAATTTGTCACCAAACCCCGCCTCTCTACATTGGATTTTCGAAAATCAAATTCTTTAAAATTTACACTTTACACCCCTGAAAGCTTTTTTATTTTGATATTAAAAGAGTTTTCAGCAATGCATAAAAAAACGTACTCCTCTGTTGTTGTTTGAATTGCGGGTTGCCAGAACTGGTTTGGATACTGTACTGCAGAACTAGATTGTACTGCACCATTCGATCCTAAAGAACAAATCAATAAATCTAAAAATTAAGTCAATCAATTGATTAATTTACATTCCAGCTTTGTGACTTTGTTATTTCTTTTATTATTTTCGTATCGTTATCTTTAAGCACATCTTTTTGTAGTCAATTTCTTAGTGTTTTAGTAAATAGTTGGGATTTGCCATTTTTTGTTGTGCGCAAATGCCCCGTAAAATTCCAGAACAGAGAAAGGGGGATTGAATTTTGTAGATCCAGAANGGGAATTTAGTGAAAATGTTTAGAAAAAAGTACTCTAGTTTAAAAGGTACTGTTGTGAATCGAACTTTTTTAAAAGTTAAGTGTCATTTTAAATAACACTTGCAGTCCCTTTCTAGAATATATAAATACAAAATCTACAAAATTCAATCCCCCTCTCTCTGTTTTGGAATTTTACGGGGCATTTGCGCACAACAGAAAATTGAAAATGCCTAAATAGTTTAACAAGAACTTCTGACTAGTTCAACAACTTTCAATAAATCAAAAAAACAAAACTATTTTTAAAAAAAAACAATTAAAGCAAAAAATTCTAAAATGAAACTAACCTAACAAGCTCTTGGAGTGAAGTGCGGAGGCTGAGACTAAACAAAACAAAGTAAAACAAGATTTTCTTTATAAAATAAGATAAAAAACAGGTTAAATCAGAAAGGATAAAAATTTAAAAATGAAAATAAAAATAACAATATTTGTAATAGAAAAAAAGGAAAAATTGGTGTCTTTATGGAAAAGAAGAATAGAATAGATATATGTGATAAAATAACCATGATATACTTTAAGAGTTCAATATAACTATGTATTAAAGAGCAAAAAAAAGTTAAGTAGACCAAATTTAGCATACATTAATATTACTTGTTTATGGAGGTGGAGGGGGGGAGGACTGCTTCTTTTTTTAAGACCCAGATGTTTTGTATAATATTTATCTGACTTTAATAACTAAGCTGACATAAATGATGCTGACATAACTGCTCCTTCTTTAAAGACAGATGTTTTGTATAATATATAACTGACTTTAATAACAAAGCTGACATAAATGATATGTTTAACTGACGTTTTACCATAGAAATAAATATGGGTAAAGTTGACATATTTGAGCAGACGTAATATGTAGATAAATTGGTTTTAAATCTGAATAACTGACCTATTTGAGCAGAACTCATCTGCTGCATTTGTTGTATCGCCTTCTCTTTATGTGTTTGTTCTGAATACGTGGTGGGGGTCTGGTTAGGTGCCTAAAACAGGGTTTATTACAGGGGGAACCCACGAAGGATGGGACAACTGCACGGAATAACTCCAATTTCCTCAAATTCTAGGTTCCCAAAGGCTTTTAACTGAGTCTTTCATTCAAAAAAACAATGAAAGACCTTGTTCACTCCGGAAGATTTTTGTCGTTGAAATCGTCTTTACTTTACAGTCTCATCCTTTGTAAGTATTTCTGTGTGTAAATTAATGTAATACGGAGAAAACAGTTTTTCTGTGCATCATAAAAAAAAACATTGTAAAATATTGCGAATATTTTGTTATCGTTCGTGGATTTCAAAAAATAAAAAGAATCAAAATAAAGACATATTTTTTTGTTGATAACTGGTCATATTTTCAAGTGTCTTATAATTTATTATAAGAAATTTGGCTCTGATCGGTTCAGCCGTGTATTTATTTATGTAAATATATCAAGTACAAAAAGATTAAATCTACGTCATAAAAATCGTTTTCCAATTACTTTTTTTACGTAGTTTTTATGAAGAGAAATATTAGACACAAATTACAGAATAAACATTTATTATTATTTTTAAAGATATTTCATACCTTTTTTCAGGGGCAATAAATACTAAGAAGGGGATTATGTTACCACCCCAAAAGGCAAAACATACTTTTTAGAATAATAATCGCTGAATGANATATCAAGTACAAAAAGATTAAATCTACGGTTCAGCCGTGTATTTATTATGTATATATATCAAGTACAAAAAGATTAAATCTACGTCATAAAAATCGTTTTCCAATTACTTTTTTTACGTAGTTTTTATGGAGAGAAATATTAGACACAAATTACTAAATAAACATTTATTATTAATTTTTAAGATATTTCATACCTTTTTCTCAGGGGCAATACTAAGAAGGGGATCATGTTGCCACACCAAAACGCAAAACATACTTTTTAGAATAATAATCGCTGAATGACTACGAAAGTGGGGAAAAAATACCATCTGAAGAAATATATCAGATTTCTTTAAAACTTGCACGTGTACTTTTATCATTTATAGGAGTATTTACTATAATATTCACTAAGCGCCGAAAATAAAAATTTATTCTTTCTTAGGAGGGAGGGAGGGGGGAGAAGGTAAGAATATAAACCCCTGCATTGTTTAAAAGGATCTATTAACTTATATCAAATACCAGGATGTAAAGCATCAATTAATCTAATTCTAAAATATTCAAATTTATACCTTAATTACAATAACAATGGATAAATAACTATCTACGTCAAACTCTGTGAAATTTTCAAACTAAGTGGAGAAAATTGAAAAATTTAAGAATTTTTCTGGGAAATATTTGACGAGATTTTCTGGGAAATATTTGACGAGATTTTCTGGGAAATATTTGACGAGATTTACGTAAAAAGAACCTGATAATTTAATTGTGGCCCCAAGAATTTCAAGCGATTTTTAAACAAACAGTATTTTTGTCATTTAAAAAAGTTTTCTTTTCATTTTCAGTACGTTCAGCGAATCTTTCTGTATTAATCATAAGAACTTCTCAGAAAGTGTCTTTGTCTTTACAATAATGTGCACCAAATGCGTAAACATTGGAGCGAACTTAATGTCTATCAGACTTATATACCTTCAGCTTTGCTTGTATCTCTCTGAGCTTTCTTCTTGCGAGAACTTGAATATGAGAACTAACTTGCTTTCTGGTTCTCGTCTTGCCCGTTCGCAGTTTTATATACCTGTACGCATAGAACGATTAAAGAGACTGTACGCATAGAACGATTGAAGAGACTGTACGCATAGAACAATTGAAGGGACTGTACGCATAGAACGATTAAAGCAACTGTACGCATAGAACGATTAAAGGAACTGTACGCATAGAACGATTAAGGCAACTGTACGCATAGAACGATTAAATGAACTGTATGCATAGAACGATTAAAGGGACTGTAAGCGTAATTTTAAAAAGATGGCAACGTCTGATAAACAAGAGTACCCTTGAAACCTTAATCTGATCTTCAATGTGGAAGATATTGTCGTTTGAATAGATGTATAAATTTAATTTCTGCAGTAGAAATGCGCAAGTCACTTTTGTAGAGAAACAACAATTGAAAATTATTTCATTGATATCTAATTCATACTTCCATCAGACAAAGCTTTTAAGGGTACCATTTTAAATCTTTGAGTGGAATTAGAGGGTCACTTAAATTTACGTTTATATAGTCCCTTTATACTAAGGTTATCAACTGCAAGGATATATAGGGGTGAATAGAATGAAAAAATTGGATTTGAAATCACAAATATTCTCCTCTTTTACTCCTAAACAATATTTATAAAAAGAAAAGTGAAGCAATAGCATGTTATTGGGAAAAAAGAAATGTTTTTTCTTCAAAAAAAATGTTCAATATTTCAGTACCTGGCTATTAGTTCATTTCTGCCGTACATTTTTCCTTCGTCAGACAAAATAATTTTTCTTCGGCCACAGGGAGGGTAGATTGCAAGTGCTTCCTAAAGAAGTTAAATAAAAATTTGAAAATAAATTTATAAAGATAATTATTGTTTTGGTATATATGTAAGTATTTCGTGTTATAAAAAAGAATAAATCTTAAGAGATATGATTAAAATTGAAAAAAAAAAACAGAAAAAAAACATTACGTGTCTGCAGAAAATGCAAATTCTTAAAAAAGATATCATTCACCATAAACAATTTAATTGATAATAATTGATATTTCTAATACACAACAATCATTTGTTAAGAAAGAATCATTTTCAAAAATTGTATACTCAATAGAGCCAGTTTCAAAATATGAATCTAATTAAATAATTTTTTTAACGTATTTTGGCGTGAAATCGATCCTATATTTTCACGATGTATAATTACTGAGTTAAGAGTACATAATCGACGTTCAAAATAATGAATTTGGATGGGTACGTTTTCAGAATCGAGTTTTTTAAATTATTAAATAACGACGACTAAAGATAAAGTAAAAATTATACAGTAAACTAATTAAATGCTTTGGGACATATTTCTGAAAACAAATTTGTCAATAAATCAATGCTAGAAACAACTATTTCTCAATGCTAGAATCAACTATTTCTTTTTCTTTTTTATCATTATATTGAATTTCTTATTTTCTTTGAATTTAATCACAGATTTCTTCAGATTTTTCAAATATCGTCTTTTAAATAAAAATTCCAGAAAATCTGCAGAAAATCTTTGTGAATAAAGAGATATTATAGAAACTAATATTGAATAAGATTACTTATTTTTGATAAGATTAGTTCTTATTTTCTCAACCTGTACCTTAACAACTAATTAGATTACTGTAAAATTTTGTATATTTAATAAAAAAAATAAAAAAAAATTTGAAAACGTATCCACTCAAAAGTACGATTTTGAACGTCGACTTTGACTCAAACTCGGGATTTACAGATCATTATATAGAGTTATATGTCTCAAATGAATCGCTAAAGAATTTTAACGACGACTAAAGATAAAGTAAAAATTAAACAGTAAACTAATTAAATGCTTTGAAACATATTTCTCAAAATAAATTTGTCAATAAATCAATGCTAGAATCAACTATTTCTTTTTTATCATTATATTGAATTTCTTATTTTCTTTGAATTTATTCACAGATTTCTTCAGATTCTTCAAATATCGTCTTTTCAATAAAAATTCCAGAAAATCTGCAGAAAATCTTTGTTAATAAAGAGATATTAAAGAAACTAATATTGAATAAGATTACTTATCTTTGATAATAAGATTAATTCTTATTTTCTCAACCTGTACCTTAACAACTAATTAGATTACTGTAGAATTTTGTATATTTAATAAAAAAAAAAAATTCTGAAAACGTATCCACCCAAAAGTACGATTTTGAACGTCGACTTTGACTCAAACTCGGGATTTACAGATCATTATATTATTATGTCTCAAATGAATCGCTAAAGAATTTGTCCACAACACTGCATACTCGGTTCAACTACCTTACATAGTCGGTCTGTCCCTTTAATCTACATTTTATGCAGACTTAAAGATGAACTTAATTCCTTTTTAAAATGCCAGGGTGGTCAATAAGGGTGAACAATTTATTTGGAAGCAAAATGTTATTCTTATAGAGATTTTGAGACATGTTAACACAAGGTAATTTTCACAAAAATTCAAAATGGCCGTCGCAAATGGGTTTTGATGATGAAATAAGCGAGAAAAAATCAACAGTGAAAGTGAAAGAAGGTTTTAAAATCTGATTAAGTCGGGATCACAATATCCGTATTAAAAACGTGAACTCAAATCAGTTTACAGAATTGAAAAATGAAGAATATTAACCTGAAAACTTTGTTCTATGTCAGGCGCCCAGACCCCTTCAGCATCAGTTCCTACAGTCTCCTTTATAAACATTAGATTTTTCATTCCATATTTATATTTATTGCAAGATTTTTAACAAATATCGTAAAAAGTCAATTAGTTCCAGTCCTACCCCTATACTATTTGGCTTTTTATTATCAAATTTTGTGCTTTTTCGTTTTTTGAATGTTCATCAATTAAGTATAATCTGTTTAAAAAAGGGTCATTTAGAACAACTAGTAATGGTGAGCGGGACCTGGCTATTAGTAATAACAAAAAATTCATATGTTACTATTAATTATAATTGGTAAGCCGAAATATCTATCTAATATTGAACGATTAAAATTCAAGTTATAGATATGGACGAAATTTATTGCAATAAGTCGATTACAAAATTATTCTTGGTTGAAAATTCAGTTCTAAATCAACATTCTTGTATCATTAAAAGATTTATTTATTTTATTCTAGAACAAGTTCTTTGACTTATTTATTTTCAAATTATTCAGTTCAGGGGTTACTTGATATGGCTTTATTTAAGAAAAAAATAATTTTTATAAATAATAAAATATTTCAACAAGTCTAAATGAAATATACTCTACGGTCGAATTATTTACCTTGTCGTCGTCGAACTCGCTTGAGTCGTATTTAGCAATCTGTTGACTGATGCTTTCAGACACACCAACCAGTCGAACTGCATCAGCGCCCTAAATTCATAACTAATGTTAACATTTTTAAAAAGTTAACAAAGAAAGATAGGGTTTTTAATTTTTTTAAATTTCAAATATGAAGTACAAACTTCCAAAAAGTTAACGGTGTTATTATTAAAGAAAAAACAGGTTTGAAATGAAAAATATATATTGAATTAAATTATTAAAGGAGTTTTCCAGATGCAAAACCTAGTTCTGTTCTTTCAAAAAATTATTCGGATCAAAATCAAAATGGAATAAATCCTAAGAACTGATTTGAATATATTAAAATGGATTTAAAATAGGGATGAATCAGTAGTATTTTCATCAAATTATTTCTTTTTTGTCCGACTATTTATCAGAAATAATCTTTTTTTCCAACATATTTAAGGTTAAGACAGTAATTCATAATCAAAAAACATTGATTCATAATTTACATATCGTCATCTATTCAAAGATTTATTTTATAAAATAAGAACATTTATTCAAATAATTGTAATATCAGACAAAGGAATTGAAGTTTATGACACAAACTCTGATTTTCTAATCGCTCTATCTTTGAAACCAAATAGCGTAGACCTTTGGTATGGCAAGCTATGAAATCGGTTAATTGTAATTATCAGATTGAAAAGATAGGGAGTACAAAATCTAATTTTTGTAGCAAAATTTATTTCTTTTCTTTTTTAAAAACCATAAATGATTTTAACCTGCATTATCATGGTGGATTCCAGGGGCGACTTTCTCTCCTCCAACGAAGTGGGTTGAGGGGCACCTAATCTTGCATTGACCCCCTCTCCGGGGGATATGTGGGTGGACTCCGGCATGGTTGCCCCTGACGATTGGGCTACTCTAGGGGCGCCAAGAATAATATATGCAGGGGGTGCTATGCCCCCGTCTAATGTGTTAATATCCCTATCTGGCCCCAGGGAACCCAGGAAAGTTACCAAACCAAATAATAAAAATGGCGTCCTCGTCCTCGCTTCAAAATCCAAGAAATGGTCACTTCTGAAAAATTAAAAATGTTATATTCTGACAATTCCTTCTTTATCTATAACTTAAAACTATAATTGAAGCTTTCTTTCCTTTCTTATAGAATATCATTGTGAATCGTAGGAGCATTTGATAAAAGAACAGGTTAAAAAACTTAAATTTGAAAAGAATATGGTTCAAATTATATTTTCTAAAAATGTTTTCACTGCGTTATTAGTGGCACTGGACTGATAAATTATTTAATAATTATACTCATCAATCTTGATTTTATACAGTGTACAGAGCAACAAGGTGGAAAATAAAATAGGGAGAACATATAGGATTGCAGGAAATCATATATGTAAGTATTTCGTGTTATAAAAAAGAATAAATCTTAAGAGATATGATTAAAATTGAAAAAAAAAAACAGAAAAAAAACATTACGTGTCTGCAGAAAATGCAAATTCTTAAAAAAGATATCATTCACCATAAACAATTTAATTGATAATAATTGATATTTCTAATACACAACAATCATTTGTTAAGAAAGAATCATTTTCAAAAATTGTATACTCAATAGAGCCAGTTTCAAAATATGAATCTAATTAAATAATTTTTTTGACGTATTTTGGCGTGAAATCGATCCTATATTTTCACGATGTATAATTACTGAGTTAAGAGTACATAATCGACGTTCAAAATCATGAATTTGGGTGAGTATGTGTTTTAAGAATGGGATTTTTTAAATTATTAAATAACGACGACTAAAGATAAAGTAAAAATTAAACAGTAAACTAATTNAGTATATATATATATATATTGATACAAATTGGTTGAATAAATAAGTAAATAAATAGAATGATAGATAACTAGATAGACAATTAGAAGGTGGATAAATATACAGTTAAATAGATAAATACATAAGTGGCTGAGTAATAAACAAATAAATATAGAAATAGTGGATTAATAACTTAATAAATATAAAAAAGGTGAACAAATAAATAAATTTCATCAAAAATTAGATCTACGTCACACTTACAGATAAAAGCTTCAACTGGACATATGGTTAAGACAAGTGAACAAAAATCTTTATTTCCAAAAATCTTTTCTGTAAAAAGATTAAGATTTTCTTATTTTACGAGATTAAAAATTTATTTTATTTTTGAAAGAAATTATTTATCTTTTTCTGTGTTTAGGAAAATTTAAAAAATATTCCCGATCAGTGCTACTCATAGACTCCTAATGAGACTGAACTTGCTCTCCATCATGCATAGCTCTCTTCAATATAATTTGAAGAGATAATAGGTGGTTGAATAATAAATAAATATAGAAAAGGTGGATAAATACATATATAAAGAAAAAGTGGGTAAATACATAAATTAATATAGAAAAGGTAGAAAAATAAATTAATAAATAAATATAAAAAAGGGGGGTAAATAAATAAAATAATATATATAGTAAAGTTGGATGAATAAAAAAATAAATAAATAAAGAAAAGGTTGCTAAATAAATAAAGAAAAAGTGGATAAATAAATAAATATAGAAAAAGTGGATAAATAAGTAAATGTAAACAATAATTAGATCTACGTCACACTAAACTGGTTAAAGCAAATGAACTAAAATCTTTATTTTCCAAACATCTTTTCTTTAAAAAGATTGAGCTTTTTTCATTTTACGAGATTAAAAATGTTTTATTTTATTTATGAAGGAACTTATTTTTATTCTGCTTTTAGGAAAATATAAAGAATATAAATTCGATTTTAATTTTAAAATATTCCGATCTGTGCTCCGCATGATTCCTAACGAGACTAAACTTGCTCCCCATCATGCATAGCTCTCTTATATATAATTTGAAGAGAAAACTAAGAAGATTCATAATAATTTTCTATAAAACCTCCATTTAAAGGAGAAAATCGACATTTCTAGAATGACTAGAGCTGGGAACTTTTGAATGGTGGATATCGGGATTAATTCTTGATCTCCTATTTTTCTTAATCTCCAGATTAAATAATGCTTGTTCTCCTCTTGTTATTAATCTACAGATCAATAAACCGATCGGGATTAAGGATATCACATTCTAGAGTTCCCAGCTCAGATCCTTAGAATTCTTGATATCAAGAACGATGTTTGATCTTCTCATTTTGTTCATCTCGATATAAATTTAATCTTAAGAATAATATCCAGAGACGAGAGGGATGTCATTTCTTTAAATTTTGTTAACCCGTTTGTACTTGGTGTCAAAGAAGACATGTTTAAACTAAGTGTATTTGGGCTAACATCGTATTTGTATTTGTTTTCAAACGTAAATTTACACAGTGGAAATATCCAAAAAGAGATTTTCGGCTCCCCCCCCCTGAAAGTGACCAAGGGTCCGTCATAGAATACGATTTTTGGACCCCCTCCTATCAATTTTATACATTGATCTAATATATATTACATGGATATTATAGGTCATGTGGCCGCAGCGCCCGGCCCCTCGCCTAACCTAGCTGTGGTGCTCGGCCCCCTAACCTGTCCTAGGCGCAGTGCTCGGCCCAGAAATTATATTAACCTAATCTAACCCTTTGGTATTACAAAATATCTTAAAATTAATGGTCATGGTCAGGAGGGATGGGGGAAGGGGGGAGGGGGAGCCAAAAATCGTTTACTAGGAGTCTAGGACGGACCCCATGATTTAGGGACCCCAAACTTTTATAATAAAATAATTTAAGATATGTGTATTAGAATCTGAAGCCGAAAAATAAATAAATGAATGGATAAATTATGACAATTACAATTTCTAATGTTGTAAATTTTTAATGCTTCATGTTTCTTTTTTGAAATTTAACTGTTTTTATTTAAACGCTGGGATTGTTATTTTCTAATTTATTTCAGTTTATTGTATTCTGTGTCTGTTAAATTGAGAGTTCTCGGCTCGCATTCCTTTAACATTCCTTGCACAACAATAGTCTGATCTGAACCGTTTAAAACAACATTTAAACCGGGTTTTATGCAAATAAACAATCACAAGAGGCTGAGACACGGTGAGGCCTACCTGTACTGTCAGATGTTCAGCTGATCACGTTGTACAATTAGATTAAGTTGTGTACATGAGAGTAACTGGTGGTGGGTAAGGTATGCGTGGAATGAACAAAGAATCTGGTGAATGCCAAGTATTTCACGCATGCGCAGTACAGTTCCTCTCTCGGGATATAAAACCCGGTTTAATATTCTCTCCAGAATTACTTAAAGTGATTTGGATCTAAGCAAAAAATTTTGTTATATTTTAAGGAAAAAAATCTAAAATTCACAATTTTTACAAAACATTTGCGCGGGAATATTTTGCCCGGTAGAAATCCGAGTGAGTGTAGCTGGGCCAGGTAGTCTATAATGCCAGGGGGAACAAGGGGAAAAGGTTCGGAAATATTATAAAATTTTTCTTTTAACATTTTTATTTTTTTTTAAAAGTTAGTTTACATAGTTTAAATATTATTTATTCAACCTCATCTAAAAAATATATTTATTTAAATTAAATTGTTTCCCTAGAGAATTGCTATATTTATACTTTACGAAATTGATGTATACAAAAATAAATGTGAAGTGGGTGCAGTGAGGGGTAGGGTGAGAGGGAGGGGGGAATGGGAGGGGGAATTCAAGTATACGACAGGATGAAATATTGATTTCCTTGTGCAGGTTAAACCTCCGCTTTTAATTCCTTCCCGACGACACTAAATGATCCCGACTAAAAAAATCAATTTCATATGGCTCGATACCACAATCTACATCCACCAATACCATTATATTTATATATATACATTGCTTTGCATCCTATGTCTATCTGGGCCTAAATCTCGAGTGGCCTGAGTCCAGGCTGTGTATAGCTGAAACCGGCCTGAAATATCTCTATTCTTTCTCTAGCGCCAATATAAGAGAAAGAATTTGAAAAATGTTGTTGTCTGTACGCATCCAAGGAATCCAAGGAATGATAGAAATGATAGAAATGCTAAGAATTTGAACCAGTGTACACTATACGCACATATTTTAACAATGCTTGACGTGCAATTGACGCAGGTTGGTATATGCGTATTGTATGCGTATTGCGTATGTTAAACACGGGGAATATGAATAAACCATGGTTATTGGTTATTATTATGTAAGAATAATGTTAGCTCATTTTTTAAATGTTATATATTTAACTTTTATTTTTATTTCATCGTATAATCATTAATTTAATCTCTACATAAGTACAAATATATTTTGTACTTGATTTTATTTTAGAGAATTATATAGACTATAAAGAAGCAACTCTCTAAGTATAATATTTAAAAATAGACTACTGAATTTTCTTTTTGAAAATTACATTACAATGTGTTATAAACCGAATTGCTATTCATACAAAATTAAGTAGATATGTTTTTATAATCTTTGGTATTTGTTTTCTACATGTCAGAAAGTTAGTCATTCTGATTAATGTATAAAATAAGATAAAATCACACCCTGATCTCTGATAGTTGATCCTTAAATTTATTTAATTGAAATGTTTTGTTATCATTAAAATTAGGTGGAAAAAAATAATCAAAACAGCCAAGAGCTATTTTCCACCTGATTGCTTTTTACTTGTACTGTTAATTTTATCACCAATTTGTAATTGTAAACTCATTCTGTACACAGAGACATGTATTTTAGCAATAAACTTTATCTTATCTTAACTTATCTTATCTTATCTTATCTTATCTTTTTTAAATCAGTTTAAGTTGCAGGCCCGTAGCTAGGAATTAATCCCAAGAGAAGTTCGAGGGGTGTGGGCACTCAAGTTCAAATTACATATAATAGCAAGATGTAGATTGTAGAATGTAGATTTGGCGCGACGTAGTTGCAAAATTAACAAATCAAGACCAAAAAAAATTAACTTTTTACTTAAAAGTTAATATTTACAGTGATAATTGTAAAGCTGTGGAATAGTAAGATGACTTAAAGACTTAACTTAAGTCTTTAAATAAATATTGACATTGACATGATACACAGCAGTTGTGCAGTGTAAACAGACCCATTTTACATGATGAGCGATTAGATAAGTTGCAAGTAAAACTATTTACTTAGTAACAGTAAAAATTTACTTAATAATTGATTAAATGTCGTCTTCCTATTCAACAGTTTTATGGTTCTCACTTCCAGGTGTTCAAAAAAACTTCAATTGTGTATTTCATGCTTCGATGCTTTTTGTAATAGGAGAAAAAATATTTTTTCAACAAAACAAAAATTATTTAAAAATTTTTTTTTAAAGTTCCACAAAATGATTCCGTCTTTCCATGCAGTTAAAGATTCACAAAAGGGGATGTGGTACCTTCCCCCCCCCCCGCTGAAGGATTACATTCTTCATCATAAATAAATTTTTCACAAATACTGCTGTTATTATTGAAACCTTAATAACCATGGAAAAAACAATTCCCAGGCAAAGCTTCTTGAAACCTGCAGTCTTCTAGAGGCATGCTTACCAGGATGAGAAATGTTGTGAATTGCCTCCATAAAAACAGACCTTCTCATCTTCTCTGGAACCAGGGGGCGGAGGAAGCCTGTGGACATGTCACAGAGAAGATTGGACCTGGAGAAAGGAACAGAGACAACAGACAAGGATGATAATAGGCAGAGAAACTCAACCTTGGCGTAGGACTGTTGAAGAAGAGACATCTCCGAGAAAGATAATCTGGAACTGCTGGCGGAGGAGGTGCATGGAGTGTGGAAACTAATGCTGTTGCAGTTGTTGTGGGCGGATGCTGTTGAACAGTGTTGGGTTCTGGACGGGACAGGGCGTCAGCTACAATATTCTCTTGACTATGGAGATGGTGAATCTCAATCTGACTGCAGCCACAGACTACAATATGACTACAGTTACCGATGGACATCGTTTTAAATTTTTTTTCAAAACGATAATTTTTCGTTTTAATTGTCCATTTCAAAACGAAAGACTCAAAAAAATGTTCTCCGTTTAAAAACGAAAAATTGTAAAATTCGTTTTCCGTTTCGAAGCAAAAAAAACTGGCCTCATGACCTCTGGAGAATTTATTTTCTATTGGTCATCAATTTACTGTCCTGAATCTACATCACAAGTTGCAATACCTACAATAAAATATCTAGAACTTTGATATGCGTGAATATGAGAACATTGATAATATATACTCGTTATATGACAACATGTTGGAATACCATTTTAAATTTGCAGGTTAAAAAAGAATTGAGTCTTTGCCACAAACTCAAATTTTCTAATCCCTATATGTTTGAAACCTGCTGCAAAGTGCAAACCTTTAATATTTCAAACTATAGATTATTTGATGAACAGAATTCATAGTTTGAACACTTTGAAGTATCTAAGGTCTAGTGCATTAGGTTGCAAATAATTTTGAAACCATAGTTTGTGGTGAAGACTTCCTTTGAAGTGTACAAAGGCAAGTAAAAAATCTATGTTTTGGACAAAATCTTCAAAAGTTTTTTGCTTTAAATTTTAGAGGAAAAAAATATTTTTTGGTTTGGCGGATTTTTTTCTTTAATGTTCCAAAATTATTTTTGAATTTTTTCTCATCACATTTTATTCTTTATATTTTATAATCCAAAGCAAGCACAAATTTTAAAAAATGGTCCAAAACAACGGTTTTTTACTCATCCTGCATATTCTTTTGTCATAATATCAATGATATTTCATCATTTATTGTGTAGTTTGGAAAGACTGAATTATGGAATTGTCAGGGGAAGGTGGAAGTAGAGGGGGCTGGGGGGGTGGGGGGGGGGAGTATGAATAAAAGGTTGAGCACCGAGTTTAACCTCTAGAACATCAGAGTTAAAGAATTTCGGGTCGGCATTAAAGGCTCATCGAAGTTTCATGCTTTGTGGAATTACCTCTCTTTTCCTCTGTAAGTGACGTGAGTTAGTATAATTTAAAGAAAGAAATATATAGAGAGAAAAAATGGTTTCCCTTTTAAAAATCAAAACCAATATTTTTCGTTTTTCGCTTCAAAACGGAAAACGATATTAATGAACTTTTTACTTCAGAGGCATTATTGAACCATCTCGTCATTCCTGGATTTATATTGATATAGTGATCACATAGATATTTTAATCTTGAAACTGTCTGCTAGACCCGGCAAGGTTTTTTTGCCTGGTTAGCTTGGATGAGCCAGTTCCAGGCAGATTGAATCTATGTGTGATAACCTTCTCCTGGCCTTTGAAAGCATACAAAAAATTGGAATTGATGATAAATTGTATGTGGCTCTGGGTGTTTTCGTTGCTTTCGATTCAATTGAACCACATGATAAACAAAAACACAACAGTATAAAAGTTTTTATTCAAGTTTTAATCGTTTCCGGTATTGAAACGAAAAAATCGTGTTTTATTTTGCAACGGAAAACGAAAAAATATTGTTTTTCGTTTTAAACGGAACACAGGAAAAGATCGTTTTACGTTTTGAAAAGGAAAACGCAATAAATATCGTAATAAATGAGAGAAAAATATGACATATGATCCATATTAGATAGATATAGATAGATAGATATATATTTGACTAAATATTTAATTTTAAACAATTTAAGTTTCACAATTTTTACATTTTAATTTAGCCAGGGCCTCTCTTACCATTGTTGGTTGTTTTGAATGAGAGGCCCTTCTGCAGCAATACATCCATGTTCAATTTAAATAAAACCAAATAAAACAAAAACAATTTAGAACAAAAGGAAAAGGAGGAAAATGAAAAGTAGTAGATAGAGGAAAGGTATTGAAGACTAGAGAGGAAAAGAAGAAGAATGGATCGTAGGGGGGGGGGACAACCCAGCACACAAAGTTTATAATGTTTATGTTTTATTTTGTTTTGTTATAATAACAGGGGAAAGGGGATAGAATCAAGATTTAGCAAGAAAAGCAATTTCGATTTATACAACGAAAATTATTATATTCTTCAAGAAAACTTTTTTTAAGACTTGTTTTAAAATTTGCTAGGGTGCCTAATGATTTTATTTGCAATAATATGCATTTATATACAGTAAAAAGAGTATTGGCCCTAAAACCAACCATTGAGATACACCACATAAAATCTTTTTAAGAGATGACTCAAATTCTCCTAAATTTACATATTGCGTTCTGTTTGTTAAATAATTTCTAAACCATTCGTTAGTGATACCTCTAAAACCACAAAGATTCAGCTTTCCTAAAAGTATTTCAAAGTCAACAGTATCAAAGGCTTTTTTTAGATCTAAGAATACTCCCAAGGTATATTCAGATTCATCCTTTTTCAAGTAAAAACTTATTTTTTATCCTTTTCCGTAGATAAAGAACACCATACACAAGTATTATTGCAGGGTGTCCCAATAAACATGGGAATTGATTGACATCTTTGTTAAGAATAAGCATAGTAATACCAATTACAGACGAACACATTCATTTTGTTTGCCATGAGGAATTTTTTTGTTGTGCTAAGTACAAAACGATATGCAATCAAACTTTAACATACAAATTCTAAACTCTAGCTGACGAAAATTCTATATATATATTCTATAAATATATTCTATAAGTATACTCGACCAAAAAATCATTTGAAAAGACGATCTCGAAGATGTCACCCAATTTCCCTGTTTTTTGACACACCCTGTATGTTTTATAATTTTAATTTTAGAAAGTGTTCACATTTCTGAGGCGTATTCAAGCGGTTGCAGGTTAACAACTAGCTGTAATTGACATAATGTTTTATGTCAACATTTCACTGGTGTAGTTACTTATCTATCCGTTTCTATCCTCACTAACATTTCCATCCTTTGGATCATGAGAGATGAAGAGAATTTTTTTGATGGTTTCCGAATTAAATCGATAACCATTGGATTATATTTACTAGCGTTTTTACTGTGTGGATTCCTGGTGATCGTTCTTCAACCCGAGGAACCGTTTCTGGTCATTGGTGTGAATGGATCGGTACTCTTTCTGCTGATCATATTTGCAATCAAGGAGAGATCATTTACAGGTTAAAGCATTGTTAGTGCTTTGTTTAATTTTTAATAAACTTTTAATAAATCTTCCAACATTTGAAAACTGTACTGCGAAAATTTCGCGAATAAGAAAGCAAAAATGTAGCGAAAAAGTTAAGAATTAAAAAAAAATGCAAATTTTTTGGTTCAAAAGTTAAAGCATTAAATCGAAATTGTGCTTTGTCCATTTTCCGAAGAATTAAAAAAAATTTAAGTAAATTTAAGAAGAATTAAAAAAAATTTAATTTAACCTTTAAATTGTCATATCTTAAGAGTTTCAGTTCGTCTTTACAGACTCATATCCTTTGTGGGTAACCCTGTATACAGTGTACATATGTGACCCATCTTTTTAGAGGAATTTATTGAGAACTATATAAGTTATAACTATTACAATAGACAAGATATATCATGTGTCGATTTTTTTTAACTCGTCTTTGATCTTACTATAAAATTAATTTAAAATCGTATCGTGATCATAACGTACTAAATTTCTCCTGAGACCACATTTTAAAATGCTTGATTTAATAAATTTGAACTGTTCACCGCCGGTTCAAATTTGAATCGCCGATTCAAATCCTTCCTTAATCTTTAATTTTAAATCGGTGATTTAAATTTGAACCATTGAACCATTAAAATCGGTCCCAGGAGTCGCAAATTATTTTTACATAAAAGTTTATTATTTCTATGTTTCTTCGAAAAAAGTATGAAAATGTAGTTAATCCATTTTAGACCCTGTATAATAGAAAAGTTAGTAGAAGTTTTTTAGATAATAATGCAAAACTTTGAAATACAAATTTTATCATTAGATTGCTAGCAAATGTAATCTGAGCTGAAAACTTTAGAATGGGATATCCTTAATCCCGATAGGTTTATTAATTTGGAGATTAATAACAAGAGGAGAACAAGCTTTATTTAATCAGGAGATTAAGAAAAAGAAGAGATCAAGCATTGATCTCAATATCCGCCATTCTAAAGTTTTCAGCTCTGATCAAGTCGGCTCTCAACTTTTATGTTTAATGAGACTAGCTGTGGGGGTTATATAACTCAATTTATATTTTTCAGAAGATGAACTAAGTATTTGAATTGTGTTGCCAGTATCTTGGTCAGCCAGTCATGAATAAGGTCCACCTGGACCTTGACTTGGACCAGTGCCAAGGGGTCAGGTCCCTTGATCTTATCAACGAGCAAGGGGTCAGGTCCCTTGATCTTATCAACGAGCAAGGGGTCAGGTCCCTTGATCTTACCAACGAGCAAGGGGTCAGGTCCCTTGATCTTATCAACGAGCAAGGGATCAGGTCCCTTGATCTTATCAACGAGCAAGGGGTCAGGTCCCTTGATCTTACCAAGGAACAAGGGGTCAGGTTTAATGATACTATGTATGTCATTGTTTTCTCCCTTTTCAAGTGTATCTTCAAGTGTTTTCTGCTCATCGGCTGAAATATTATCACAGACTTCTTCTTTGGTATTATCAGTTTGATCACCGACTTTTGCCTCATAATCACCGATTGTGTTTTTATAATCACCGATTGTGTTTTTATAATCAACGATTAATTTTTTGATATTCTTTAAATGCTTACAAAAGCTCTTACTCTCTGTATCAGAAATTATTCCACCTAAAACTTCAAAATCAACAAACGTTGTTTAAAAATAAAAATGATTTAAAAAAACTAAAATACTATTTTATGGATTATAAATTGTTCAAAAGAAACAAACATCAACTGTGTTAAAAGGATTTAGTTTTTTCCAATCCCTATATCTTTGCAATCCAATGTTGTAGACCAGATATTTCTAACTACGAATTCTGTTAGATCAAATAATCTATGTTTAAATTATCAAAGGTTTACACCATCTAATCGAAAAGATTTTGAGATAAGAAAATTTGAATTTGTGGCAAAGACTCAAATCCCTTTAATTGATATTTCGAGAAAAGCAAATTAAGAATTTTGATGATTTCCTTTAAAGCCTGGTAATGTTGCAGCGATAATAAAATTTCCTTTTATCTCCAGATTAATTAAACCAGAATAGATTTCTTCTGTCAGGTATCTTATTGGTAGGGAGGACATTCGGTTCAGCAGAAATTTAAATTTTTTAAAGATTAAAACTCGTAATCAAAAGTGTGATTCAAGGTACTTTGAACGTTTTTTGTAACATACAAATAATCGATTTTTTAGAGTTTCAAAAAAGAAAATAAATTTTTGATAAAATTTTGATAGAATGTTATAACACTTTGGTAGAATCTTATGAAACTGTGATAGAATCTCATAAAACTGTGATAGAATCTTATAAAACTTTGATAGAATCTTATAAAACTTTGACTATAAATATGATATAACTTTGATAGAATCTTATAAAACTGTGATAGAATCTTATAAGACTTTGATAGAATCTTATAAAACTTTGACTATAAATATGATATAACTTTGATAGAATCTTATAAAACTGTGATAGAATCTTATAAAACTTTGACTTTAAATATTAGATACCTTTGATAGAATCTAATAAAAGCTTAAAGGAATATATTTCTTCGAGAATTTAAAATCTTTTATCAGGGTTAATAAATTTTGGCTATAAACTATATAAGCCTGAAGCAAGTTAAAAAAATATATTTCTTTTCCAAAATAAATTTGTCCTCCCTGCCCCTTGCACTGTATAGCGAACTATTTTCTGACTCTTTTAGCATATTCTGGATTCGTCTAGAAATAAAACAAAAAAGTATAGGCCCACTTAAACATTCTGATTCATTAAATAAAATAATTCTGGACGCTTTGCACCCATCTTTGCTTTTGCTGGTCCTGCGTTTCGTACATTTCGAACAAAAATACCGTTAAAATAGCAATATTTTCCGGTGGATTTCCATAATAAGAAAAGATTGATTTTATTTAGACAAAATTGCAAACAAAGGACTAGAACACTGCGTAAAATTTTACAAATGTACGTTTGACATCGTTTTCTTACTCTTTTGTTTATTTCTGTAAATTGTTTCTTATAATAAGCATGGAAATACGCACTTTTGCATTGCTATCTTTGCATGGAGAGTCATAAGGTAAAGATCAACTCACCTCACAGAATTGAATATTTCGGAGAGCTGAAAACCTTGAAGTATTTTTATTCTTAGCAAAGCTTTCTCAAGATCAACTTGTTTCTCAAGGTACTCCCGTGCCGTGTTCTCTCTTCCAAAACTTTTTATTCTAAGCTTTTCTGTTGTAAGACTTTCCGTTTTAAAACTTTCTTTTTTCATTGTTTTTGTCTGAAGACTTTCTTTCAAATCCTTGATTTGCTTCTCATTCAGTTCGTTTCTCTTATTTTTCTTCTTATTTGACCTCTTTTCAGAGATCACATGCTTCAGGTTCATCTGTATGTTCTGATTCTGGTTCTGGTGCTGGTTCTGGTTCTGGTTCTGGTTCTGGTGCTGGTTCTGGTTCAGGTTCTGGTTCTGGTTCTGATGCTGGTTCTTGTTCTGGTTTTGAATCAGATATTTACTTTCGAGGACTACAGAACACTCGTTCTCACATCTAAACCTAGAACAAATGTTTTTACAATCTAAAAAAGACCTACCATGGATAAACCACGGTAACAACTCGAAACCTTTTCCTGGGCATGAATGAATGAATTATCCTTGTTTTTCTATCTGTAAATTCATAATTTTTAGTTGCCTTGATTTATGGATACATGCCGCCGGGACAAGAGAGTTGAAAAAGGGCTAAGGTGGTACAGTTGAGAATTGTGCATGAAACGTTCTAGATTAAATCAGAGAATACATTTGAATGCGCATAATAAATGTGTATTATTTTACATTCATAATAATATATCTTTAACATTATATTCATGTTATAATTTTATTTATCAATTAATTGCCTTATTAATTTAATGTCCTATTATATAAAAAAATTGTTTTATCTTTGAAATGTCCTATCAATGTAATGTCCTCTAAATACATTTTCCATCTATAAATGTCCTTTAAATCAAATGTCAATCTATGAATTGTTTTATACTATGAAATATCATATGTTATGTAATGTATATAATCTCATCATGATGAAAAGGAATTGAGTCTTTGCCACAAAATCAAATTTTCTTACCTGAGGCCGAATTTAAAGAATAATTATGCCGCGGCTTAAATATGGTTGGTTCCACTTAAAATTGTATTCAATGTTTCAAGATTTAAGCCGGCGCGGCGCTCAATTGAAACCCGTTTTTGGCGGATTTGAGACACGGTTCAAATTTATTAAATTCGGACACTGGTGGTGTAAATATTTGATTATTCAAACTTAGTTTATTTGATATAAGGAAATTCATAGTTTAAAATGTACGACAATATAGGGATAAGAATATCTGAGTTTGTAGCAAAGGCTTAATTACTTTACAAAGGTTTTTCAAATTTGTTTATAATCTTCCTTTTTTCTACCTTATACTTGTGATCCAGGGGTGGGTTATGTCGTCTTCATGTAATGTCAAGTTTAAAAATATCTGAGATTTATCCATCTTGTTTATATTTATCCTTTAGTTTAGTTACTCAAGTTCTGAAATAATATTACACATTTTTTAGAATACTGGAACAGAGAAATGTCGAAGATTAAAAGAAATATTTAATTATTTTTGTACAATACTAATTTATTAATTTTGGAGATGTGAGATGACATTTAGGCCGCAAAATTTTGATGGTAACATTTGCCACTAAGACAAGTTTAAACCGATTTTTTGAGCTCAGGCTTGTATTTGTCAAAACTCAAAACTTTTGTGTTGTGAATTCCTATATTCCAGCAGTTATACCTTTCTTTCTCGTCTGAAAGATCTACTTAATTCTTCTTCAAGGAAATATTCTAGAAAAATACAAGGGGATCGTCTTTTCTCTCTGCTGCGTCTGTCCGGAGGAAATGGTTGGAAACACTTATGCCTAATTGAGCGTAGAGCCCATGTCATTCTACTAAAACCATAAATAATTAAAATAAAAAACTGATTATTTATCATATTACTAAACATAAATTCCAGAATCCATGAAATTGGTGTAGTTATTCTTATTATCTTAATTTTCACATGATGCGCATCTTAGTAGACAATCATTTTCCAGTCCTGAGACCGAATTTAAGGAATTTGAGCCGCGGCTCAAATATGGTTGGTTTCACTTAAAATCGTATTCATTGCTTCAAGATTTAAGTCGGTGCTCAATTGGTTTTTGGCAGATTTAAGACGCGGCTATAAATTCATTAAATGCGGACACTGCAATTTCGTGGCTTTAAATATAATTACTGCAAACTTGACAGAAGGGGCCATGGGCCTGAAATAGATGTTGTAATACTGCTTTGACTTTGTGACCTCGTAGCTACTCTATAAGTATGAAACAAGCACATATTACAGAGATTCTAAACATTTTTGTACTTCTCAATAGCTATTCAATAAGAGGAGTTTGATTGAAAATATGTAAAATTTTAAGTAAAGTCTCTGCCACGTGTAATCATTCAAAGCATCGAGAGTTGAGACATCTGGCGGCCAACTATTTCGGCGTTTTGAGTGCAACTGCATAACGGAACGAATACTAAATATTAACTATATACGAATGCGTCGAAAAATAATAGATTACTGTAGGTTGTAATATCTGAATGATTTATTTGTACCAAATAAATACATATTGTACATTTCAATATTTATAGAATTTTTTCTGCAAGTTGGTGTCATCATACCAACAAAGAGATACAGGGTGTCCCAATAAACATGTAATATAAAATATAGACTAGACTTGTATAGCTCACACTCAGCAAAGCTTTCTATTATATATATTTTGACCGAATATATATAATAGGTTTTAGCGGAGAGTGATAGTGATCTAAAACTCTGTAATCCTTAAAATTTATGTATTTTGATAAAGAAAAAAACTCTAGGAGACGTATATCAAGGAAGGATGTAAATAGGCTTAACACCCTTCTCATTTTTTCATTGCAAAAATTTAAGCGAAATAATCTGTTTAGTTTTTCGAACCGCCAATCTTTCATCGAACTGTTGCCACAATTTGGGCCCGATCCGTTAGATCGATTTCACAGACATTTGCCCAACCGTCTATGTACGAAGCGGTACATAGACCGCTCACTTTAGTCACTCATTACCCCCTTATCGGTTTACAAATTAATTTTCTTTTTTTTTAAAGTTTTGCGTAACTTGGGAACCCAGAAACCAAGTTCAAGCATGTTTTTGCTTTTTTTGTTTTTATTCAATGAAGATCTTGATAGGTAATGAGAGGATACGCAAAAATTAGACAAAAATATGAGACCCCCTTCGACCGCTTCGCACATGTGGGGTACATAACAGTAGGGAAAAAGAGACGGCTTCCCCAAGTATCAGAATAATATAAACTGCATTGTTCTTTAAATTTTCATTGATAATGCGGGATAAGAAGGTAGGGATGGGTGGGATGGATTGGATAGGAAAGGAGGGATTGGAAGGAAGGGATGGGAAGGAAGGGATGGGAAGGGAGGAATGAGAAGGGAGGGAGGAATGGAATGGATTCATGATAGTGAGGGAGGGATGGAATGGGAAGTTAGGGATGAGATAAGATGGGAATGGTAGGGGGGTGAAGGGAGTGGTGTGATGCGATGGGAAGGGAGGGATGGAAGGGATGTGAAGGGATGGATAGGAAGGCAGGGATGGAATTGGAAAGGATTGATGGGATGAGATGGGAAGGGTAGCATGGGGTTGGAAGGGAGGGATGGGAAGGGAGGAATGGAAAGGATGAGATTGGAAGGGAGTGATGGGATAAGATTGAAAGGTTAGGATGGGGTGGGAAGGGAGTGATGGGAAGGAAGGGATGGAATGGGAGGGATTGGATGGGAGGGATGTAATGGGAGGGATGGGATGGAAAGGATGGGAGGGATAGGATGGCAGGGATGGCATGAGAAGGTAGGGATGGCATGAGAAGGTAGGGATGGGATTGGAAGGGAGGGATGGGATGGGAGGGATGGGAAGGGAAGGGAGGGATGGGAAGGCAGGAATGGGAAGGGATGGGAAGGGAGGGATGGGACGGCAGGAATGGGAAGGGAGGGATGGGGAAGATTGTTATCAATGGAGTTGACCAAGCTGAGATTGACGATATTATTAATTTTATATGCACGACCTAATTACA